TATAAATAGAGCTCGAGTTTGAGTCACTCAATGGCGGAAGTTGAAACTACTATTAATCCTATTTAAAAAGAGGAAGAAAAAAAATAATTATAAATTAAAGAAGAGGATAAACAATACTTAATAATTATAAATTAAAGATTTGGGGTCAGACAATGCAAAATTATTTTGTATAAGAGAATATAAAAAAATTTGATTACACACCATTTCAAAATTATTATTATACTTTTTTGTATGGTTAGCTTATAATATTTGTAAAAATATAAGTAATTAGACCAATAAAAATTAGTTTCTTAAAGTAGATAATGAATTTCTAGTAGTATTTATGAATTGGTTTCTATTTTATTTTATTTTTCTTTTTAAAGATAATGAATTTCTAATAGTAATTATGAATTGGTTTCTATTTTATTTTATTTTTCAAATCTGTATAGATAAGGGATGAGATTTTTTAAACACGTGAGAAGTATGCAATGAGACTTATTTTGTAACAAAAGAGATAAGCTCGTGTAGATTTATACTAAAAAATAAGAAAAAGAAAAATAAATATTTATTGTTATATTTATTGTCAAACAACGGTTTTGATAAACTAAAAAACAGGAAAAAGAGAAACAAATCTTTACACAATTAATGAGCCGATTTTTTTGCCTATTTAGATTTGTCCAACAATTACTATATGTAGGATATATTTAATGATTTTGGCGGAAAAATGTTTCTAAATTTGTAAAAAGGTTATTCTTTTTATATAATGATAGATGATAGATTTGAAATAGTACATGTTATCCAAGCTATTAAAACCAAACAAATTGTTCATGAACATATAGTTTGGTTCTGTCCGTGAAATGTTGTACTCGATTCGTTCGTTTTCTTAGACTCGTCGAACATGTAAGAGCTCATTTATTAAGACATGACCAAATCAGCTACATGTTTGTCAATTTCCACGCACGAGGGTCGAGGCATCAGAATTTATGAATCTAAGAGTTATTAAGAACATTAAAAAAACGTACTTAGCCGAACATATCAAGTGTCAACATGGCAGAAAAATGCATATGCGAATACGTGATCATCGACATTGCAGAATTAATCCTAATTAGATTGATTAAAAATCCGATTCATCCATTCGGTCTTCTTCTTCTTCTTCTTCCCTGCTTCCAATTGATTTTGTATCCGTATTCGTATTCGTCCCCACCCGATCACGCTCCCGAAAGTTCTCCACACGAACATCATCCGGGTCCTCATTTGTTCCGGAAGCTTCCATTGGCTTCGTGTTGTTTTCTATCTTCATAACACGCGGTGGACTCTCTTCAGTAGTTTGCGTATTCGAGCTGCCGGTCATAATTACTGCATCCCGATTTTCGTCTTGGTAATTTCCGATTCCTTCTTCAGTTATCTTTTTCCACCTTTTTCCATTAGTCCTTCTTAAGAAACTTTGTTTCCCTCGAAACCGAAAGCCTTCAACTCCCGCATTTTCTTGAATTTCCATTTTTGCCCCATTCTCACTCGCGCCCGTCTCTTGATTGGAAGTCGATAATTCTTTGACGTCCGTAAAATTCGCTGGCCTTTTGTGCTCGTTTTTCTCTTTATCCATTTGTTCTCCATTCTCACTTTCTTCTTCTTCACTCTGCATTGGAACTTTCCTCAAGGAACTATCCTCTTCATTATCATTATTATTATTATTACGATTACTATGATTATTATTATTTCCTTCTTCATCACGCACGATTGCCGTTTGATTATCCAACGTCGTGACCGAAGGCTCGTTTTTTCTCTCGGCACATGACTGGAGACGATTCTTGAGATCCTCGATTTCGGATTCCTTTCGGCGTGATGTCTGGATTAGGGCTGACTTGGCCTCGTTTTGGGTCTCGTGCAAGTGTAGCTCGATGGCTCGTTGTTCGTCTTTGAGGGAAGATATGGCGGACTGCATGCTCGAAATGCGGGCGTTGAGGTCCGTGTTTCGGGCACGAAGGTTGTACATTTTGGTCCTCATCTCCTCTGTTTTTCTCTTGATTTCTTGAGAATGGTCTTTTTCTTTCTGTACTTGACAAAAGAAAAAAGATGGAGGACAATATTTATGTTATATCAGCTAAAATGCAGGTTTTGTCACATGTAGGCATGTAAACGAGCTGAGACGAGCTTGGCTCTTTAAATAAACGAGCCAGAAATCGAGCTCATTTATCACTATTAACGAGCCGAGCTATAGATTATATAAAAATTCTCTTTTCGAGTTTTATGGAGCCAAGTTCGTCTTGTTAACCAAACGAGCTTTAAATGAGTCTGAACTCAGCTCGTTAAGGGCTCGAGCCTTAACGAGTCGAGTTTGAACCGAGCCGAGTTAGTCTCATTTAATTTAACAGTACTAAGAGCAGGCTAAATTTCTGGGTTCCAATCTTCTATTGATCCTTTCTCTTTTTTCTTTTCCCTTTTTTTTTTCCTTTTTTGTTTTTTTTTTCTGTTTCTTTTCTGGGAAAAAAGTGTTGAGTACTTGAATTCTGAGTAAAATCAAAACATCTAGCAGAAGTTAGGAATTTAAGATAAGTATCCATTATGGACTTTCAGGAATTGTGTAAAATCCTGGTATATTTAACTTGTTTTTGAAATTTTAAAAAGTGGCGAGGTATTCAATCTATTGGATTTTTGTAGCAAATACTAATTGAGATTTCAGAAACAAATTACATATACAAAATTCTACCATCAAATTCCATATCTAGCTTTCAAAGATTTTAGTTAAATAAAAATAAAAAAATTCTTAAAAAGTCACTAACATTTGGTAAATTATGTCCAAAACACACACCAAATTACCTCTTCACCATAATACTAATAAATATCATTCCACATATCTGGGTGATTTCCTTTCACTTAATTAAGAACAAAATGAATTGCAGTAACAAACAAGGGAACACACAAATAGGCAAAGCCAGTTAACCTGGAGGAGGAGATGAAGGGAGAGGATCTGGCCATCTTTCTCCTTGATCAAACGGTCGAGAAGGCGTCTCTCCTTGAGCCTCTGTAGACCCACCACACCCAATAACAGCCCACACCCACACACCAATGCTATTATGGCCATGGGGACATACACATTAGTCCATCTTCTCCTGTAGTACCCTCCATGGCTATGCCCATTATTTGCTGTTCTCATTTTTACTTACACACATCAACACACACACACAATGTGTGTTTATAAACAAAGAGNTTCAACAGCTTCTTCTCTCATTTGCACGCATATAAACATACTCTACCGTCATACACTCTTGCATTATTTTATTATACCATTAGGTTTTGTGTAAGTATAGAACGTGTTTGTATACAAATATTTTCGCTTAAAATGAGTTTTAATTTTGTTAAATAGAATTAATTTTGAAAAAAATAGAATGATTAATTGTTAATGGAATTTTAATTTTGTATTAAAATAAAATTTTAAATGATATAATTAAAGTTGATCTTATGTAAAAGTACGAGAGAGATGATATGAAGTGATAGTTAGTTAAATTTATATGACTGGATGAATAATAAATTAAAATCTGATGTGATGTATAAGAATGATTGATTGATATTATTTAATTATATTGATAATATTAAGGATAGTGAACTAGGTTGAATTAAAGTTGAGTTAGAATTTGAGTGTGAATTGAGTAAGGATTGAGATATTTCATATACAAACACACCCAAATATGTGTTTGTTAAGTACAATAAGCCAATATGTAGTTTATTTAATTTTGGTTTTATAGAATATAATTTTTAAAAAAGCTTGAAATCTTACTTCACAAGTTTTTTTACGTTTTAAATAAAATATACGTTGAAAGATTTATTCTAACTGATTTATTAGACAATTTTATCAAATAATTTTATTATATGAGCTAATTTTCACTCATAATTAATTTATAAACTATCAATTAGTTTATTGTTTATAAGCTAGAATTTCAGTTAAATTTACCAAATATACCTTAGTGAAAAAGGCATACATTAATTGATAATGATCAGGTGTATTGCGAAACAAGTATGCAATCGTATTTTTAAATGGATTTTGAATATAACATAATTTAAAATTATGTTTGACCAACTATGCTAAGTGTTATTTTTACTATTCAGAAAAGGGGGTAATAACTAATAAATAACTAAGAATAGAGGCGGTATAAACGAGAAACCTTTGTTCTCTGCATTTATTTTTGCTTTGGCACCACTCTAGCTAAAGCTAATCTGACCTCTTGTGTAAAGTTTAAATTAATTAATTGTTGAGGAGGTTTGGTTAAAAAATGAATTTCAGTTTAATTACCATCGATATATTTATTATATATTGTATTATGTTTTTAAAAAGTATTACTTTTCTAAAAAATAATATAAACAGAGTCATAATATAAAAGTAAATACGATATTTAATAATATAAGAATATTTTTTTTATTAATGTATCAACTAACAATTATACTGTCTCATACCAAAATTTACTTTAAAAAATTGATAGGGTTTAATGGGTGGATTGGCTGAAGTTGCAGGAAATTTAAGGCGTGCAAGATCCACCGCATTTGCTGAGCAATAGGAGACTAAGGAGAGGATTGCACTCTTTATTAGCTGCACCTTGTTTGACTGGATTTGCTTCGGCTATAGTAGATTTGAAATTGGCTCAAATTTCTTTATTCTGATCTCAAATTAAATTGAATATTTTCATTTTGAAAAAATTAAAGAATGATTTTTTAATTTTATAAATTGAGGCATAGATTAAAGTGAATGATCTGTGTGGCATATTTTTGTTGGAAAATGACACAAGTAATAATAAATGTACATAGGGTGTACATATCATTCACATGAGTTGAGGTCCATTTGATTTTTATTTTTGATAGGTCGCACTCAATATAGATGTTATGTACACTCCTATTTACAATATTATGTATTTATAAAATTTCTCATTTTTCTTCGTGCATAAAAGTATGAAATGTCATGTCTTAAATTCAACTTAGAAAATTGTGTCAAATTACACTTGGAAATTGAAATAAAGATATTAATTTATATT